ATTACTATGCGTAATTCAATTCAAAAATCCGCAATATTGCAGATTTGAAAAAACAATTGCAGTACCATCCTTAGTTTCAGCTAATTTCAGGTTTCGGGGTTTCATCATACCCCTTACTATGTTTTAATATAGTTTCGGCTGTTTATTAATTGCCTTTTTTGAGTTTTGTTCCTCATCTTTAAATTTGATCAAATCAAATCAAATTAAATCAAATATTTGTCGAATCAAATCAAATCAAATCAAATATAAAAAAATTTTTAATTTTTACAATGATAAATTAAAATAAAGTTATTCTAAAGTTTTAATTAAGAAAATTATTGTTATTGCATTAAAAAATTTCAAAGATAGACTTTATAAAATAAGTTTAGTAACAAGTGAATTTTTACTATTAGAATAACTTTGTGACTTTAGTTTTATTAAGAAAATTTAGTAAAACTAAGTAATAAAAACTGTTAGGAGTGTCTGAAGTATCTGAAGTGTTAATCAATATAAAAATATCTTAATACAAGTTAAAAATACGATTAATTAAAAAAATGTCTGTATTACTAAATTAAAAATTATCAATTCCTAACTTTATTAGAATAATTTAATCGTATTCTATAATTGTGCCATATTGATCTTTAAACAGTTAAATAAATGTTCAAGAAACTGAAAAAAATGTATTATACAATATAATTAAAAGAAATGTGATTAGCAGATTACGCATCGTGACAGATATTACATTCATAATTTTAACTCTAACCAGAAATATCCTATGCTTATGTTTCAGACAATAATTCTATAGTGTTAGTTTTACTAAAAAAATCTTAGTAATAACTGTTATTGCAACTTCAGTTTACCAAGAAAACTTAATAATAATTACTATCGCGACTTTGGTTTTACTAAGAAAACTTAGTAATAATTGTTATTGTAGCTTTACAACTATTTTATTAGTAAAAAATGTTTCTAAAACCATATTTCTTACTAGATTTCTTAGTAAAAAAGGTATTTTTAAAGCTGTAAAAGTATTTTTTATTATAGTTTTCTTAGTAAAATCCACTCCTAAAGTTTTGGAGATAGCTTTATTATTGATTTATATCAAATTAAATATTTGAATACTTAATTTGAATTTATTGAAACGAATCAAACATTAATTTGGATTTGATCAAATAAATCATTCTTTAATTTGAATTTGATTAAATCAAATTAAAATAAATTTGAATTTGTATTTGATTTGATTTTCAAATCAAATATTTAAATATCAAATTGAATTGTAAAACCCTAATTCTACACACTACACTATATATTTTAGTTCATCAGTTATAATTTTCCTATTATTTTGTAAAGTAATTGTAAATAGAATAGAGACATGCATTGTCAGTTCAAGAATTTAAGCTTCTTGGAATACCTATAGGATGTGAATTCCTTAAGGTCAGAAACTCTGCATGAGTTATTTATTTTGCATTATAAGTAATATCAATTAAGTCTTTAATAAAAAAAACAGAAGATTTAGATTCGATTAACAAGAATAACAGTAAATTGTTGTCACATAAGGGATAGGATTGAAATTTCTATGCTGATAATATTAGTCAATCAATTAATAAAATAATACTGAGGAGTGGTGTTTCTAACTCAATGATTAAGCTATGAGTCTCTTATATTCATTATATAACAATAGGTCATCTTGTGGTAATATCCCATGAATTCTGCGGCATTAGTTGGGTAACATATAGGTGGTACGGCTAGAAATGATCCCTCTGTCCAAATTTGATATGAACCTAGCCAAGCTGGTATCCAATGGATCCGTTCAAAGGAATCAATACTGGCGAGAACCTTAACCACAGATGGCAATGGCTGGGGTATTGCAAGTGAATGGTTGCCTTACCTTTCCGAAATATCAGTGTTGAGATCACTGGAGGTACGCTATGGGTCACATACACTTCCGCCTCAAGGGGTGGTCGAAATCCCTATCAAGCTGCTCTCTACTTCGCGCACTATTCAATAAAACAAAAAAAAAACAATTACATCATTGTTTATTTATACCATAAATTATCACGAATTAAAATTTCAGCCCAAATCATTATGTAAGTTTTGGAGTAATTAATAAAATATGGTGTCCGCCTACTTTTGTCTAAGTAGTGTGTGTATATACTGTATGTGTATATATTTTTTCACATTTCTAGATCATATGAACGACAAGAGGAGTTCAATATCCAAAGTTATACAATGGCGAAGTTCTAGATATAATAATACTGATGAGATAGTTGAAGGAATAGGTGATGGAAGATGAACTGTTAGAAGCGTTAAGCTAATTATGGATGGTGCTTTGTTAATTCATATTTATTCCATCTGAGATTGTTCAACACATTTGTTATAATTAACGTATTGTTAAATAATATCGTGTGCAAATAAGAAATGTTGAAACCTTATTCTGGTAATTATTCTGGAAACTTAAACATGCGTATAGTGTGGAAATCCTGGGATCGACTCAGTCAGTTATATCTTTTTCAGTCGCGAATTTCATTTGAAATTAACATCATTTTATTATTAACGTCTTAAATATTTAACAATAAATTTTTAAATCTGATTAATGTTACAAAAGTAGATAATTATAAGTTTTAGCCAAATATAATGTCCCATTCAGCTAAAATTTGAAACTTATATTTAATTAAGGATTTCGCGTCGTTGACAAAAAATTCCGAAGTCTATTCCACTTGGTTTTTGCAGCTGGTACTACTAAATGTGTATAAATAAATACCAAGTATATTTTAATTTAAAAATAATCAAACGAAACATGGACTTTTATTGTCTGATCCAGCTTTATTACCACCCAAAATCAGAATAATGATACATAGATTCATCTGTAATATCCAAATTTATTTTGAATCATTTAAACTTTTGTAAATTAGGAATTCCAAGTTAGTGTAATCAATGTATTTTTAAGGATTACGTATTATCACAAAATGTCGATAAAGAATTGTTGGGATAGGAATTTAATGAAGTAAAGAAACTGCAGAGTAGCTAGATTTAGAATCAAACATGCACAAATTTTTGATAATTAGGAGATTTTAAGATTTGTGAAGGAAGGAATTTATTTTTTTTTGTCCTGGGTATTTCAGACTTTGGAAGATATTAAACAGATTGAATATTATATCATCAATGCAACCCACTCACGGTAAGTTTTTTTTTTTTTTTTTATAGAAATAAAATGTATTGACTTTAAATAATGATCAACTATATTTTAAATTTTGTACATCAATACATTAAAATTTTTTCGGAGATTCGACCAACGTTAATAATTAACACTTATATTACTTTTAAACTTGATAAGACATCGTTACAAAATATCTAAGGGTTCCTCCAAAAACTTTATTAAACATAATGACGTTTTTAAATTTTATGTTTGACATGAATTCGAAAATACAGCTTTAGTTAAAATTTTTAACAAAGTTTTATTTAAAAATTTTACAAGTTGTTTGCTATTAAAATCAAATTTGAATCATATGATTTAATATATCTGGTGACCCGATTTTAAAAGCAAACGACCCGTATACAGTATATAAAATGATGTCTATAAAAAATAAAAAATATTAAAATTAAAAAAAAAGGCATAATTTAAATTCACTAATCTGTTTATAATAATTTTATTCATCTTTGATTTATACGAGAAACTGGTTTAAATATATCATCCAGTTTGTGGATACTATAGTTTTTTTCAAAATTTTTAGATAATTCAACATATTCCTCACTTAATCCTAACGCTAAGTTGAGATTTCATTTAGACAAATTCAACAAATTCACGACTTCAAACGCAGCAATATTTCATACCTGATGACCAGAACCATATTTCAACTTTCCACCCTCTTTTCAAGGCAGCTTCTACTAATGGTATGAAATCACTATCGCCTGCTACTATAGCCAAGATTCCGGGTTTCCTATCAAAGATTTCCGTTCCTCGTATAGCTAATGAAGTGTCTAATTTTTTTTCTTTGTAGTGCTTCGTTGTTTGCTCTATGGGCCGAAGATTAAAATCTTGATTATATTTTGCCCATAATTTATCGATATTATTATATGTAGGGTAAAATATTTCTGAAAAGCCACCCAATTTTCGTTCATTTAATATGTCTGATTGAAGTCGTTTGTAATTAAGCCAATTTTTTTTGTGATAAGATTCCTTAATTATATCATTTTTTTGACCTTGCTTGGACAAATTCGAATGATCGATTACAATGGATACCTCCCCAAAGTTTGGTCCTACATGGCGGATACAATAAACAAAAGAGATGATATTAATTTAATAAATATGACAAAGAGAATGAAACAATGGCTTACCTTGAATTTCTTCGATCAAAGTTTCGATCTTACTAGCGGTTATCTCATCTATTCCCCATTTATCAAGGGCTATTGAGTTCATCCAAAGAAATTCTGAACCATTATTGCCTTTTATTTTGTCGGTGATGATTTTAATAACTTCATCATCAATATAATTCGATTTCAAAAATTCACGTAGTTGTTGGAGGTGTTGGAGGTTCCATTCTAATACTTTTTTGACCGTAAGAAGAGCACTTTTTTTAGCAACTGTATAATAAATGTATAATTTTTTTTTTTTTAGTTCAAATTCTTAAGCAATGGAGTTAACAAAATTTTAAATTTATCAAACTTATCAAGATTAATGTTTTTGGGAAAGACAAGCGCAAACTACTTTCATTTAATATGAAAGTTTTCGTAAAATCAAATTACTTACATTGAATTTCATTGACCAGTTTTTCGATTTTTAAAGCTGGTCCACCTAGAATTCCCCATCTTTCAAGAGTTACTGCGGTCAGCCCAAGAAAGGATGAACCATCGACCTTTTGATTAATGATGATATTAATATCTTTATTATCAAATTTCTTCGACGCCAAAATTTCTCGCCAATTTTCTACAACATTCGTAGGAACAACTGTATAATAAATGCATAAAATTTTTTTTTAGTTCAAATTCGGAGTTAACAAATTTTTAAATTTATCAAACTTATCAAGATTAATCTTTTTGGGAAAGACAAGTGCAAACTAATTTCATTTAATATGAAAGTTTTCGTAATTAACATGCAGTTTTATATTGTCAATATATTTCTCTCTAATAAAGCTTCAAATTTTATCGAGCCAATTCGAATTATCGACAAGAACGGATACCCTTCCCGGAGAATGATCCTAAATGGACAATGGCAATCAAAAATCAAGTCATTTACCTCCTAGAATTTCCTTGACAAAATTTTCGAGTTTTAAAGCTGGTCCACCTGGTATTCCCCATATTTCAAGAATTTTTGCGCATAGCAAAAGGAAGGTTGAACCATTATGGACCCTTTTAAGGATGATCTTAATATATTTATATTCACCACCCTTCAATCTCAATCTCAATAAGGATCGAAGTTTATTGTGACTGTTCAAATTGAATACTTCTTCTTTCGTCGGAAGATTACTTCGTTTAGCAACTGTATAGTAATTATGTAAGTTTTTTTTTAATTCAACAATGGAGTTTGGGAAGGACAATTTCTGAAGGCTATCTAGCTCTCGTCCATTTAATATGAAAGAAGTTCGTAACTAACCGGTAAATGGTCCTAAATGGCGGCAAAAGAGACATAAGTGCAACACAGAGTATGAAACAATGACAACTAGTAAATCAAGTTATTTACCATTTTTCTTGACAAAATTTTCGATCTCTAAAGCTTGTTCACCTGGTATTTTCCATCTTGTAAGAGCTACTGCGTTCAGCAAAGGGAAGGATGAACTGTCGACCTTTTCTTTTTTGAAGATGATTTTAGCATATTCATCAATATTTTGAATATTACTCGATTCCAAAGCTGTACGAAGTGATTTGAAATTCCTTCTTTGTACTGCATTAAATGTATATGCGTAAGTTTCTTTAGTTTTAATACTTAAGTAGTGTATAATAATGCTTTTTTTATTTGTAATAAATTTGTAATAACCTACCAGACATGATTTTTTGATTTTTTAAAAAATTACTTTGAGGACTTTGAGGGAGGGATCTTTTTATATATATATATATATATATTTTATATTATGATTGAATAAAATATTTTAATTGCGTTCATATGGTCAAAAAAAAAAAACCTACCAGTAGAATCATGCATATGAAAGCAAAACTTTATTGCTTCAATTATACTGTTTTAAGAAAAGATTAACCGTTGTGAGAAAACATCCAAACAAAAATCAAATAAAGAAAAATACAAGATCATGTAAAAGTTCTCTATATATTTAGAATATTTGGAATTTATTATTTGATCGAGAATAAATAATGAAACCAATTACGTGATTCAGTTGACTGGATATATAAGTAATCTTTTCCAAAGTTGTAATATATCGTTAACAGTTGCAACATGTTGTGACAGTATCATGTTGTGACAGTAATAATTATAGTTGTTGCTTTAATAATTAAATATTGCGTTTTATAAACAAATTTAGTATTCGATTGAACATTTTAATAATACTAAATCTTTTTCCTCGATAAAATAAATAAACTTGGCTTTATTTTATAACATAAATTCTTTAAAATTTTTTTGAATAAAGTAATTGATTTTTTGTTTCGTCTCCTTCTGTCAGGTTACACAAAGGGTTTGATGATTTTTAGTTTAGTAGAAACTTTATTTTACTGTAATGTGAGAAAAATGACATTTTATTGATTACGTACACAAACAAAACAATATCGTGCATAAACTTTTGTTTTAATCCAAATTGGTCAATTTTGATCTTTGTCATCATACATTTATGTCCCAATTTTTTGTTTAATGTGCTACCTAAACGAGAATTCAGTTCTGCATTTAACCCATTGTCTGGAATGATATTGTTCCAAATTCGTTCAAGAAATGAAGAATCAATGATTATTTATACAAAGTTGAAACCAGCCATTACTTCTTAAAAAGAAGCTTTCCAAGACGCATATCATAACTAGTTGTAACAAATCATAACTTTTGACCACTTAACTTTCGAGAAACGTATCGAGCTGTAATATTAGTCAGATCTAAAATTTTTGGGAAAATTTTGTTTTATAAATTTGATATAACGATTTTTATATGATAATATACATAGAACAAAAAATTTAAGAATTTATTAAGTGATCGATATATCAATGGTTCGTTGTAGTTTTCATTTTGATTACCGAATTTTTTAAAAATGAATGTAGAAGTATGTACCAAAGAATGATAATGAAATCTTGCATAGTATTTTAGAATGCGAGATAATTATCGATTTTATTAAGCGAAAATTAAGACGTTATTTACGATTACGAGTATGTACATGTACATCAAAAAAAAAAAGAAAAATGCTTACAACTTTTAGTTTCCATATTGACTATATGCGCGTCGTTTCGGCAAATTTGATCTACAAAGGCGGAAATGTTTCGCCTGGAACACTAATATGTTGTGATATTAAAAATTTTTTTTGACAGTTTCACAAAGGAAACAATATATTCGGGCGTATAAATATTGTTGTATGATTTATCAAGTTAATTTTATGGATTCATTGTCCTCAAACGGTGTATAATTATGTTTTAAAAAATTGGGGCAAATAATCATTATTTTGCCGCTTTATTATGAATGAACAATGGTCAATATAGTTTACTCCTTTTTGAGTCTTTCTGACAAATTGTGCATGCTGCACTAGGACGATCCTTTTAATGTTTCCAGCATATCATCAATGCGTAATTAACTTACGATAGTCAAAAGCGTTTTTTCGAGAACTTGCGAGCATCTCCACAAAATTTTTCACCCACGTGACCTTAATAATTCGTCACGCAGTGTCACACCCTCCAACTGGGGACAATCCTTATTTGTCACATAATTTGTCACTTTTCTGACTTGGCCAAGTAATTATAGTTGTTTTAAAAAAAATCCGAGTTTAAAATATGGTGAATCACCCAAGAACAATGATGTAATCTTTATAGGCTATTGCAGTATGGTTTTCGCATCGTCAAGATAATTATCTTATAATGAACGTGATTTATTTCATTCTTAAAAAATTCATTAGACGTTCCGAATACGAGTTACTTTTAATATGAAAAATGACACGTCCGGTGACTGATATTACGTTTAAATGATGACAGATAAAAAAAATATACATGAATACCACCGCTATATAAAAAAAATACGTTATATGAATTAATAAAGAATATGAGACTTATAATCCTCCTTTTAATAAAAGTTAATAATTTCTTACCCATTATAAATCGAATTTTGATAATCCAAAGATAGATTTTATAATATCCAATTTCATCAATTACGTAGTCACAATAATACCATTAGAAAGAAAAAATTCTTTAGAACTTTTTGTTCTTTGGTCTCGACTATTTATTATTATAATTATTATATGTTGTATTATTTTTGTTATTTTAATTCCGATAACAGAAAGCATACATGAGCTAGGGTTACCAAAGAATTCTATTAATGTAAAATAAATATCAAGGTAAATTAAGATGATTTCGTTCAATAAAGTAAATAAAAGCGTATAAAAATAAAATATAATATTCAAGTTTTGTACAAACGAAAATAGAAACTTAATAATAAGATGAAAATAAAATAAAATTATATAATATAATATATATATAAATATAATTATGACAAATAATTAAAAGTATTCAATAAACACTCTCATAAACATCTAATCGACAATTTCTTCGTCATCCCATGCCCATCCAGGACTATCGTCCCTGGTGTTAGTAATCTTTTTACCAACTTCCAACAAGTTGAGAGATGTGGATTTGATATTTTTGTTATGAAAAGGAAACGATGATGGACAATCACTTTTTTTATTATTTTCACAATCATTTTTGGATTGCCACGCAATGCCAGATTCCTCCTCTTCCTCAATTTCGCCCTCCTCCATAGAAGATGACGAACTTACCTCGCCGTTCACAACTCCATTATTATTACTCAATGAAGTTTCATCATCCATTTCTCCATCTTCGCTTTTGTTCTCATTATCAACGCAACATTTGACTGCATTCTTTTTAATTTTTGATGACGTATCGGCAGGATTCTCGTTTTCTCGATCGTTATCACTATTGGAATCTTGAGGTTCACTATCTGAACTTTCTATGTCTACTTCCTCTGATCTAGTTTCACTCACAGCGTGGTTATCAATTACTAACACTTCCTCATCCTCGTCATCTTCCTCTTCCTCAGCATCCTCAACCCAATTTTCCAATTTTTTGGCAAGTGCCACTTCATCACCAACACCATCCAACGCTTCAAGTATTTCTAGCAATAGTTCATATTCGTGACACGACTTCTCGTAACGGGAAATTTTTTCTCGAGTGTGTGAATTAATATGATGAGAAATCGCGTCGTAAGCTGACGTTATCCGAGCTTGAGCGAATGTGGTAATAAGAGATGAAGGTGGTTGTTCAAGATTGATCGGAGCAAAAAATGAGGCGGTGTAGGAATTCATTAAGGATTCGTCAAAATCAGAAGAGTAGTGTATACTGATATCAATTAGAATGATATAATTAAGATATTAAAATATGAGGAAAGGGAAACCATTTTCTTAAACACCAACTTATAATTCAAAAGTCACATTACCTATCCTCTCCGTGAGCTTGTTGAAAATATTCTGAAGCTTGACCGGGAATTACTTTGAATGGCGCCGGAATCACATTTGTAATAGTGCTAGTGGGCGTTTTTGCCTGAAGGTAATAAGGGTAGCATTGTTGATATGTATTGTATGTCTTTAAATTACACTCTTTTTCAGGTAATTTATAAATACCTTTTTTATTGCGTTTCTATTATTACCATCGATATCAAACCCTTTCCTTTTCTTGGGGATATCATCTAAAAATTCTGAAATATTTCCATATAAACTCTTTCTTAATGGACCATCGGCAATATCTGTAGTACTAGCCCTCCTAGTTCTTAATTTTTTATTCGCTGGTCCTTGACCATTTCCCCACAGTGGGAAAAGTTCTCCTAAATCATCGTCTTCATCATCTCTATCATCCATTATCTTGACATGATTATTCAGTGAAGCGCCATTATGTCCCAAACCATTAACGGATTGCACTCCTTCCATTAAACCTTGCATAATGTTCATTTCCATAATGTCACTTTTCGTTTCTTGGTTTAGATTTTGAAATTGACTCAACACTTCATTAAATGTTGGAGCCGAGAAAAATGCTTGACTCGTTGTCGAATCTGTGTCCATCATTGTGGTAGATGTCATAGTATTTGGCGTTTTAGGTAGTCTTTGAACAACAAATCCTATAAGGTCTTGAAATAAGGCACATGCTTCTCGAACGATCATTTGAACAATTTCTTCTCCTTCACTCTCTTCTAAATTATAATTGAAGATAAATCAATCATCGATGATAATAAATCATATAAATATAAATTGATAAACTGATAAATATTGATAATTTCGGTACCTGTATGTTGACCGAGATAATTATATGCAATAACTTTCAGCATTGACGTTTGGATAGCGCGAAAATATGCTGAAGCTATGCGTGCTGTTTCAAAACGGGATGTAACATCTGATCCAGGAGCCTGGTAAAAAATAATGTTCGAAATATGAAGTATATCGAACGAAGCAGAATGTAAAAGTGGTAACCGATAAAACGTTGGAAAGTAACTTACAGCGAACCAACCAAGAACTGTCTGACCCTTCCAGTTCATTAACTTTGCGATTGTACCATCTAAGTCTTGCGAGCTGGCTTTATATGGATAAAATCCCTTAATAGTTAAACAAAAAAAAAGGTAAATTAAAAATTGAAACTGAGACTTAAAAAGTGTCTACAAGCTACATCCGTAAGATAAAAGACCAACCTTTACGTGCACAATAAGTCCACGGTTTAGACATTCTTCACGTTGGCCGAATAATATTCCTTGAAGGGAAGTTCCATCGGTTGCAGGCTTGAGCCTGACAAACACATCTAACAAGAGGTGTGAGATAACGGTCTACCGATTGGTTCGAGGAAGATGGTTTTACAAAATAATGTGACAGCAATTAAGAAAAGTTATATTTTATAAAGGTTAAAATTTTCATACCTTTCGGGATCTGGATCGTAGCAGGCATTATAGTTTTATTTTTGATTTCTCGTTGTAAAAAATAGTCACGTTCTGTTTCAATTCCCTCTATTAATGTTTTACCAGCCAATAAAAATACAGAATAGCAATACAATCAATGAAGGAAAAGATCATAGCTTAAAGTTGACACAAAACTTGAGGAGCGCATATACTGTATAAAATGGGATTTGAAAATGAAAAATATCAAAAATATCTTTTATATCAGAAGACCATTTAGCTGACTTCTAAAAAATTCAAAAATTTGTTCTTTTAATTTACCTCATTTACTTTCAAAAAATGTCTCACCAATCTGGAATTCGAGGTTAGCATATATTAAACACGTCTGTCAAAAACCATTGAATAACGTGTTCTTTCACAATTCTCTTTTAGTTTCGCAAGAACTCGCAGACGTGTTTGCAAAAGCCGTTTCTGAAAATAATTTAAGGCTTATACGCATATCAATTATTAATGGTAACTTTTCATTTGAGTGATTTCATTTTTAAGCTCATTCATTTCTTAAATAATAATATGCAATTCTATTAATAGAATCATTGGTTCCAAACGGCACAAAAGATACTGCTAAAAATTGGGAATCCGGTAAGTGTAATTCTATATACTTGTTAATATTCGTAGTTTTTCCTAAATTTTAATGTGTCATGATTTAATCTATTCAATAGACTTTGCAGTAGTTAGTGAATTCTTGGAAGAAAAGACGCCTTGCTACATCTTTTATCGACTTGATTCAAAGTCTTCGACAGGAGATTATGAATGGATATTTATGACCTACGTTCCTGATATTTCTAAGGTAATTTTGACATTATTAAAACGTAGTTTGTAAAAGTGATCAAATTCATAAAAAATCTCACGAATTATTATTTTTTAGGTCCGAGATAAGATGTTGTACGCATCGACACGTGCGACGTTACTAAAAGAGTTAGGCGACTCCCGCTTCGTTGATTCTGTGTACGGTTCTACAGCAGTGAGTTAAAATATCCGTGAATTTCCGTCAACATTTTTGATTACATTTTACTTATAACTCGTTCTTTTTTCAAACAGGCCGAATTTTCTTTGGATGGATACCAGAAACATAAAAAACATAAGGAAGCTGATGCGCCGTTAACGGAACGTGAGAAAGAATTAGCCGAGGTGAAATCTGCCGAGGTACTTGGAAATTTAATGTTATTTTAAGAAGCATTTTTTTTTTTTGATGATACAATCTTTTTACTATATTATTTTTAAATTATAGGCTAATGTCAGTTATTCAGCACGTAAATCTCATGCTGCGGGAATTTCTTTTCCTATGTCCGATGAAGCGATACAAGCCATACAAGGTTTGCTACAACCTGATTCGACAAACAATTTTGTGAAACTAGTAAGCACCATTAAATTTTTCCTAAGAAAAAATTCTTGAAACTATAATAACTTGGAAGTGATTTATTACGTAGTTTTTGGATACCAAAAAAGAAACGATCGAGCTTGATGAAACCGTTAATATTGACATCGACAAACTTGCAAAATCTTTCCCTACCGATTCTCCAAGATATGCTTTTTACGTTTATCAACACACACACAACGAGATGGATGTTATTTCCAATCGTAATTATTCCATTATTGATTTATGATTTCAATTTAATGAATTTTAATTTTAAATTTTTTTTTTTTTTAGTTTTCATATATACTTGTCCTCCGAACTCAAAAATTCGTGAACGTATGTTGTATTCATCATGTCGAGGTTCCGTGATCACGTTTGCTGAAAAGGAAGCCGGCATTTCAATCACGAAAAAGGTAATTGTTACAATATCTTGGCTTTACAAAGCATAAACAAAATTTCTTTTCAAAACAAATGCTAATTGAACTTGTTTCGCTTATTATATATAGTTGGAAACGAATGATCCGGAAGATTTTACTAAATCATATATTTTGGATGAATTACATCCAACAACCGAAACAGCACCAATGAGGTTTTCCAGACCTAAACCACCGGGAAGGAAGGGAATTGTTAGAGCTTAGACGACATATCGAATGTGGACAGTAACAAGAATATTTATTAAATTATTATATGCCAAGTTTGGTTGAATATATATATATAGGTTTGTTTCATTTAGGAAAATTGTTAACAAAATTACAAAAATAAAATCAACCTTTTCTAAATACAAATTTATATACTGTATCAAAAATTTTGATAAAAATTTTATTTGCTGAATCGTGAATCTTTTTTAGATATTAGGAGAAACAATTGATAAATTTTTTCGGAGAAATGTTTTAATGTCAGACTTTTCTTTAAGGTAACACAATGTCAGTGATCTGCTTGATCTACCAACAAAATTATCATCCAATCAAAAATTAGTTAAAAAAAAGATTTTTCTTCAAAAATTTAAAATTACGATTTACGGGAAATTTTTTAATGTAAAGTAAATATGGGTGATTTTGTAATGACTATTGAAGATGATACTGAAATCATTATTCCAGAAGAAGAGAGTAGTGACGTTAATAATGACCCACAATCAAGTTCTTCTAATAAAAAGAAATTAAATAAAAAGGGTGATAACAAAAAAGAAAAAAAGAGTAAAAAAGAAAAAAATAAAAAGGAAATCAATAAAAAAGATGTTAACACAGAGAATGATAATATAAATCCGGAATTTACTTTCTTTATTGATGGATTTAATAATGCGATAGAACATCCATGGGATTTTAATGCTGCAAGAGCTGGTCTTAAACCGAAAATACTTGTAAGTTACAATAACAAGAATTACTCATTTCCTTTTTTTTTTTTAAAAAAAAAAAAATAACTAAGTAATTTGATAAATTTTAAATTTATTTTTAAAGGTGACATCTAGAACAATTGATGAAATCATTGAAAAGAAGAGATTAGATACGAAGAAAACGAAAATTGATAAGGCGAATGGTCATAATAAGAATGGTAATAATAAAGTTATTACAAAATCAAAACATGGTATGTTATAGAACTATATAAAATAAAGTAATATTTGAATTCAAATTTTTTTATAAGATTGATAAATTTATTTGTTTTCAATAGGTGATGAGTTGAGCATGTCGGAAGAGAACGACGATGATTTTGAAAAGGAATATGTCGGTCGTAAGAAAAAGAAAGAAATCCTAAAACAAAATGTAGTTAATGAAGATAATCAAACTGAAGATGACGATGAGAAAGACAGTGGTATTAACCATTTCCTATTTATATTTATCATTTTCTTATAGAAATGATATTTATTATTAACTTTTCCTTAGACGAAGATGATCCTTTTGCATTTGGTGGTGGTGTAGATTATGTTATTGAAGATGAGGAAGGTATTAGTGATTCTGAACAAGCGGAGGAAAATAATGAATATAAGGAGCAACAGGATTTTAATTCTGAGGATAATATGAATGATAAAGACAATGATGAGGATGAGGATGATGATGATACAGTTAGCAGTGAAACAGATAATGAATATGAAAGAGAGGTTTGCAATAAATATAAAATATATAATATTTGAGAGTATTTATCGTTGTCTTACCTTTCACTTTTGATTTTAGCGAAAAAAGGCATATTTTGCAGATAAATCCGAAATAATACAGAATCAAGATTTGGCATCAGCAGAATCATTTCAAACAATGAATTTATCAAGACCTATTTTAAAAGGATTAAGCCATTTAGGATTTATTCAACCAACACCAATACAAAAACAAGCCATACCAATTGCACTGATGGGTAAAGATATTTGTGGAGGGGCAATAACAGGAAGTGGTAAAACTATAGCCTTTTTAGTACCAATAATAGAAAGATTGTTATATAGACCACGACAAACAGCAGAAGTTAGGGTACTCATATTAGCACCAACACGTGAATTGGCTATACAATGTCATAGTGTTGCTAGTAAATTAGCAGCTTTCACGGATATCACTTTATGTCTTTGTGTCGGTTAGTATGAAATGGAGAATGAGGAGGCTTTGCAAGAAAACTTTATATTGAAGAGCTTTTCTTTTTAGGTGGGTTAAGTCTCAAGAAACAAGAAACAGAATTACGGGTGCGCCCTGATATCGTTATTGCCACTCCAGGAAGACTTATTGATCACATAAGAAATTCAATTTCTTTTTCACTGGAAAATATCGAAATTCTAATTATAGATGAAGCTGATCGGTAAGAAAAACCTAAAATTTTCTTCTATCACACGTTTTCTTTGAAATAATGTTAACTTTCTCTCTCCCAGGATGTTGGAAGATGGATTTGCAGATGAATTAAATGAGATAGTTAAAAATTGTCCGAAATCACGACAAACAATGTTATTTTCAGCTACAATGACAGATAATATTGATGAATTAATAAGATTATCGTTAAATAGACCAGTAAAATTGATGGTAGATCATATTAAAGCAACAAATACAAAATTATTACAAGAATTTATTAGAATAAGAGAACACCAAGAAAAAAATCGCGAAATTATATTATTAATTTTATGTAAAAAATATTTTAAACATAAAGTTATAATATTTTTTAGATCAAAAATGATTGCTCATGAAATGAAAATTATTTTTGGATTATTAGGGTTAAGAGCTTCTGAATTGCATGGCAACCTTTCTCAAGAGCAAGTAAGTTTTATATGAATAATAAGAGAGACTTTTTTCCCCTCGGTTTTGAATATTAACGGAAAAAAATTTTTTTTTTCCTATATATAGAGGTTGGAAGCGTTAGAAGCATTTCGTGATGGAAAAGTAGATTATTTATTAGCTACAGATTTAGCATCACGTGGATTGGATATTAAAGGAATCGAAACAGTCATAAATCATAATATGCCACAAAGTTATGATCATTACATTCATAGAGTTGGTAGAACTGCTCGAGCAGGCAGAAATGGGCGGTAAGTCTTATTTTTAGTATTTATTATTATTTTTTAATATAATATAAATTTCTTTTTATTTATTTATATATTTTTTTGATAAAAAGGTCTGTTACATTAACAGGAGAGGAAGATCGAAAATTATTAAAAATGGTGATAAAACATTCACAAAAAGAACAAATTAAAAGAAGGAATATAGATACAGAATTAATAAGAGAATATGGTGAAAAGTTAGTAGATATTAAAAAAAAAGTAGTTGAAGTACTAAAAGAAGAAAAGGAAGAAAAATTAATTAAACAGACTGAAATGGAATTATTAAAAGGTCAGAATTTGATCAAATATAAAGACGAAATTGTGAGTAGACCTGCTAGAACTTGGTTTCAAACCGAAAAAGAAAAAAAATCATCAAAAAATCTTTCTGTTGAAGAGTATAATGAAAAATTTGATGTTAAAAAACGAAGGAGGGATGAAGATGATGAGGGGGAAAAAAAGAAAGTTAAAAGAGATAAATACGCTGGTATGTCCAGAGTTAAAAAAAGAAAGCTGAGATTACGTGAAGATGATTCTAATAATCATAAAAAACTTGAAAATCTAAAAGCTATAAAATTAGCTAAAAAAGCTCAGAAACCTACGAAAATAAATAAAGCATTAGAAAAAGATAAGACAAAAGAAAAAGGGAAAAGTGGAGGAAAGAAAAAGAAAAATAATAAAGTAGGATTTGAAATGGATTTAGCTGATGCTACTAAAAAGAATGCTTTTACTGTCGTCCCAAAGAACAAAGGTGTTGGAAAGGAAAAAAGTAAATCACGAGATGTTATTAAAAAGAAGGTTAAAAGTGGTGGTGTTGTAAAGAAAAAGGGAAAGAATGTTAAAAGAAGGAAGTAATTAGTAAATAAATAATATTAATAAATTTATATATAAGAAATTTTTATTATAAATTAATAAAACTTAAAAAAAGGTCAAATAAGTTTATCATTTTAAATAAAAATATTAATCTGTTATATAACAGATAAAATATCCTTAACTGTTAACTAGTAATAATATTAAATCCGCAGTGTATTTATTTGGTATAAACATAAATATTAAAATATGATAAAAAGTTTAATCTAAATTGTATTTAGAATCAATCATCTTTTTCATATTTAAAATTTTACTTAAAAAGTGTTCGGTAGAAAAGGATTTTCTAATTCTTTGTCTAATAATCCTAAATCATTTAGAATTTGTCATTTGACAAATGATAAATGATCAGATCTTTTAAATCATTTCTCATTTGCTTTTACTACAAATTTAGCGAAACTCTTATAGAATCACCAAAAAATTTGCAAAACTCTTAGTGAATCGCACATATATTACGAATCACTTATAGAATCGAAAATATTTGCGATTCTCTAAGTTTTACAAAATAAATGCGGGTTTCCAAATTCGATCCTTGTTAGCCCTAGTTAGTTGAATCTTTCTTTTATCCACTTTGGTACATTAAAAATTAATATAATCCAACTTAGTGCCATTGTGTTATATCAAAAGTTATCAATTAAAAAAAATTATAAAGTTCATCTGACATAACGTTATGCTTGATTAATACGCTTTAATCATTTTGATTCCCGTCCGTATATACTAATCAAAAAAAATCATGTTTTATCCGGACATATTACTCATCTTCTTATTATACTTATATATATCGGCACCGACATGCGGTGATATTATTGTGGCTTAGTTTCCGAAGAATAGAAGTTTATCGCAGTTTCGTATTAGCGATACTCAAAAAACGGCATTGTTTTATTTTTTTTTACCTCTGCTAACTTTTGCTTCGGAATTTTGCAAAGATCTGAATTATTTTAATTCGAAAGTAATAGAAGCAAAGTAGATAGTAAAATCCGCAGCTTCAATATTTTAGCTTTGAATTTTTTAAATGTGTTTGCTAATAACCATTTATTTAAAAAAAATTTATTATGAAACGAATATGTTGTATTACATATTCTTAGCAGAGAAATAACGCGTATTAGTAATATTAATTAAAATTACAGGAGATTTTTCTAATACAATATACACACACTCCAACTTTAATTCTGTGCAATGGTACGTTTTCAATGACGCGTAACATAGTTGTATTTTTGATGTAAAATCTTGCCAAATTTCACAAGTCAACTTCCATTTCTGTATCAGAATTATTATGATTCGAGTATGAACATTCATTTAATCATAGTCATTATCTAGAAAGAATGAATATGGAGCGAATGAGCAATTTTCCAGTATTTTCAAGTTGATCTTTATATTTCAAGTTCTTTTCAATAAGATCGTTTACACTTTTGTATGGTCGATTGTCATATCGTCATCGGACTCGTCAGCTTGCCCTTCGAAGATAGGTGAACCAACCTGATTATCGTTTTAGATTTGACTTGATCTATATATAATGTTGGATTTGTGAGTTAGTATCTGTCAGCACTGCAAGTGATCCGTTGAATCATATGCCATCCTATACCATTAATCTTTCAGAATTACGGGATACCCAAATAACTTATTAATTTTTCTTGCGTTATAGGCCATTATACGTAAATGCCCATCGGAGATGCCTGTAATGTATGGTTGAATCTCGGATTGCATGTTTTGGCATAGCTTTATATATCCGATAACATACTTAAAATGTGTTAACTATAGAGTAGCAAAAAAAGAAATTGCAGCAACCATGTAACACCTTTTATTGATACAGAAGTAAAATACATTGTCCTATACTAACATTCGATCCTAACGTTACCTCCATAATTACACGGCCGTATATGATTATTATACTTTGCCGTGGAGTAATTTGTCGCGGAGAGAGTTTGTTTAAACTATGCTCGTGATATTACAATTTAAGCTATTAATTACTTTAAAAATATAGAGGGACCGGCTCATCTCTCGGCTAAGCTAATTTTATATTTACTTTTTTCTCATATTCATTCGAAAAAAGAAAAGAGAGATAAAGATAAGGTAATATCTTCCGCAGATCAGCAGATCAAGGGAGGAAAAATATTATTCTTCTGATGGTAGAGTCTGGACAAGCTTGTCCGAGCACATCAAACCTTATGTGTTAAGATTTCAGCCATTAAATATTTGATTTCATCTCCAGTTAGATTTAAGATGAATGGGGGGATAGTTCTAATACGGACTATTTTTTCTTTACCAATGCTATTAAAAAGCTTATAAACCTTTTCGGATCTTTCTGTCCTTTTTCGCAAAGCTTCATCAGAGCATTTTTGTCTCGGAAATCGCTTGATATTGCAGATAAAAAATAGAATTGCGTGTCATTGTATTTTTAAAAAATTAAAAAATTAGCCTAGTTAATACATGATTAGTTCTATAATCTATTCTTTTTTTTCAGTGTTAGCTTACAAGGGTAATGTTCTTTGATAATTATTCAATTCACTAAATATTGGTTTACTAAAAAATTGAGTTAGAACACGCTTTGTTTTATATCTAAATATTTCTTCCTCGGTCATCATATCAAAAAAATCTTCCATAGGATCAATATCGGAACTTACATTAGATGTCACGATGTGTTTAAGCTTCTGCCTTTTCGGTAAGGGCCCTTGTTCTTCGGTACTTGCTTCTTCACTTTGGTTGTTTTCTTTAGCCATATTTTCTTGATTCGCCAATTTCATATTGTTGTTTATCAATGCTACAGCAGTATTTCTTGGTAAGGTGAGCGTCTTAACCTTTTTCTGTTCAAACCAGAAGAATACCCACGTATCGTTCAGGTCAGTTAATACCGTCAAAACAGCATGATTAGATCTTAAATCTGACGTGGTTAATTTCGCTAAAGCTTGATATCTATCTTTGTTTTCGACTCTCTTTTTTAATTCTAAAACAATTCGAATATGACAATCTGGAAACATGGCCGCAACAGAAAACCTATCCACTACAACTGCATCTGTTGTACCAGCCAGTCTCAGTGGTAAGTATATACCAGCATCTGTCGTAAAAAAGTCTGCGTTACTGGTTGGATCAAAAATCGTGAGTGTCCGGTAAGTGCCAATTCGGAGAATTTGATTAAGATGAGGTATGTATCTATCATTTTGTGCTCTTTCATTTCTCTCGTCCCAACCGAAAGAATTAACATTCACTATATCATTGGCATTTAAACCAAGGTGTTCGATGGAAAGGTTTATTGCTTCGATATTATCAAGACCGTGAAACGCTTGAATCTTGTCCCAGTCTCTAGCGCTTACACTTGATATTTGTTGTTCGGATTGCTGTTGCACATTCTTAATAATACTATCAACTTTATTTTCGAGCCTTATAAGGATTTCGTTATCACTTCCCTCAGCTAAAATATAAATTGCAACAAGCACATTGAATATAGTGAGCACAAGCTAGTAGAAAATTATCGAAGTTTCAACTTCTCTACTAAAGATAATTGTCCATAAGATTATTTCTCTACTTACCAGCAACAGGCAAGGCAACAGCAGGTACATCGACGATAATGTGAATATGTCCATTAGCGGGTGCGGTGAATTTCTCTTCAATATTATCCATAGGTCTCAACACCTGACCACCCAAATCACCCACAATGTTGGAATTTGGATTGGTGAGAGCGGTTCGTTGGGGGTTTTGCGTATTAAGATCGATATTAACTTGATATAAAGTGAGGTCAGGATAATCAATATTGGCGAAGGCATTTTTCTTCTTAGTATAGATAGTTTCTTTGAACTCGTCAACGGTCGTATTCTTATCATATTTAATCCCGAATACAGAAACTTCTGGAATCCCGTGGACTAGACAGTAAATTGGTGCCTTTTTAGGTGGCATGGTGATGCAAAAATACGGAGTGGGTCATCATTTATAGTTGTACATGCTGATTGTACAACAAATGAAAATATCAAAATTGATGTACAAGTCATGCTTTACAATACTACATATAAAAAAAGTGTCATACTTTGAGATCATGACCTCATTTCACAGTCTAATATCAGGTGATAAATGTGAAGATTCGATAAAAAAAATAAATACAGTACTAACATGACGAAATTTCTATGCTACGATTGCGAACTTGAGTTTATTGCTTGAAGTGAAGCAAGTAAGACAATATTCTGTTCCATTCCTATACCATTTGCCATGCAATCCGTAATTCCCATGTTTTCAAATAGGACATGGTGAGCTCCACGGTTGAGCAAATGCAAAATTATAATTATCAATTCCCCTAAAACTATTTCGGAATTTCAGGTATGTGAAATGCTCTAACACGGATTTGGTAATTAACTCTGAGAAGGTGATAGGCTTGAAATCAGAGGCTTGAGATTTGGCTGACTTTATCCCAGCTTTTGATAATTGCCATGGCTCATATCCGGTTTCTTTTTTATATTTTTATATAAGTTAGACCAAATCCTATCTGTCAGTTAATTTTGCATGCCAATCCAGGTATTTGGGAGATAATATTTTATCGGTCTTGGACATATCTTTTTATATAATTGCAAATCAATTTAAATTAGATAATAGTTGACATAAATTAGCTCTGTAAAAAAATATCACAATGAAGCATGAGCAAATATAGTATTGTAAAATAATGAGACTATGCAACTATCTCAATTTCATGCTGTTCACATTTAATAAAATAGGATCTGGTCTCATAACTACCTTCTATGCCTTCCTCATCATCATGGTCTAACTTGTATAATAGGCATAATGTCTCATCAGTAAATCCATAATAATTGAAATAGTCGCCGGAGGATATTTGATATAATTATATCAAATATCCTCCGGCGACTTGAGTTAGATTATGACGGTGGTGATATAATCTAATGGTGTCGATATAATCTAATGGTGGTGACATAATCTAATGGTTATGATAGTGTTTATGTAATCTAATGGTGGTGATAAAATCTAATGGTGATGATATAATCTAATAGTGGTGGTATGATCTAATAACACGATCTAGTGGTGGCGTCATAATCTGATATCGTAATCTAATGTGGTGACATAATCTTCATGTGGATTTATAATCTATAGTTTGGTTATCTTTACGGCTTTCTAACTACTATTTTAATTTATTCCTGCTATAGCGTTATGGTATGTCGGTGGTGATATGATCTATTAGTGTGGTTATTATATAATCTAACGGTGGTGACACAATATGATGGAGTGTATTTTTCCGCTTATCTACGGCCTTTCCTTTATCAAGGAACTATTCATATGTTTACATTACTCTGTATTCTTTTTATCCCTAAAGAGCTATCCATTTATTTATCTGCTTCTGGGTCTATTTGGTGGTCTGTTAAGATATCGAGGATGCTTCTTTTTTGCGTCTATTTGGTTACCCTTTATAATACTGAAATGGTGTAAAAAAAGAAGTGACGGGTGGCGCGGTGTATTTTCTTATAATGATAATCAGCCATAAAAGTCTGATCTACCGTAACGATCTTGGAACGCAATTATCTCGACATCTACCAGCCCAATTTTGATGAGGATTAAACTACTGGATTCAGTAGGTTCTGATCTATCCAACAAGCCTAAATTCGTATAAATCCGATCAGTGGATGTCGAGATA